TATTAAACTCTTATATTTTAATTTAATATTAATATTGATCAATTAAATTTAAAAATTAAATTAAAAAATATTTTAAAACTAATAACATTTCATGAAAAACTAAAATAATATCATTTTTACTTTATAAAATAACTTATTTTAGTATTATTTTAATAAAAATTTATTAAAACAACTTAATTTTAAAATCATTTTTATCTTCTATTTTTATTCATATCCAACCGATGAACATATTTCCATTTTAACTTACAAGCTCACTATTTTACAATACAAACTACAAAGTCTCTCGGATTGTAAAGGATTGTGAGACACTTTTTCCGTAACTTAATCAACTTATATGGAATGGTTATGATAAAAGTTGCAGGAGTATGAGTGTAATTGAAAGAAGATCATTCTCATTGCTTCAATTCGTCCAATATCTCGTAATGATGGTTGGGCGTCCAATCCTGAATACAGATTGGCGTGCTGAATCCTGAATGCGTCTCATTGGTTTCACCACTTTCAGAGATTCAAGCCTTGAAAGTGCTTTTCTACCCAGTTGTCTCAAGATCTCTTTCCATTTCCACTGCAAGCAAATGTCTCGGTGTTATCCCAAAGAGAAAAGGTCAATGCTCAAGGTTGCATGGTTCTTAAATCCAAGTGGGTTTTGTCAGCTGATAAAATAAGGGAAGAAATAACGGAGAAAGATGGGAGGTAGCTTGGGCTGTTGTTGATGATAATTAATGTGGAGAATATTGGCAAGTTTTTGAAACTGACAGATCTTTCTGAAGGGTTAGGATCTCCTAGCAATATGCATTTATCATGGTAAGTAAGAAGGAAACTGACTCTCTCCTCTTGAATCATGCAATTGGGTTCAATTGGGTGGCCAGGTACTGCAATGTAAGGGTTTAAATTAAGGTCTTTCTTTGACATTTTTCAGAGGTGTAAAAGGGAAGAAACAAAAGAAAAAATGAGCAGTGGACCCAGGAATGAAGCTAAGAAAATCAACGTCTTAATCAGAAAAGCTGGACCATTCAATTGAGGGAATGCCAGGTATGTGGAAATTATCTTTTTTCTTCATTGCATTAATGAAGAAGGATGGTACAGCCGTGAAGGCAGTCGTTTTCAATTGCTTAAATTAGAAATATTGAGAATTTGAGATCTAATGGAAGGTTCTGCTCTCTCATTATATTCATCTTTGTCAAAAACAATGGTGTTTGTAATTTTTTTTTTTTTTTTTGGGGGGGAGTGGTGCAGAATTGCGTGTCTGACTGACTTCTGACTTTAGTGTCACATGAAAAGATTTCAATGCTATATTAAAATGCAGGATAAAATGCTAGATGAAGTAAGTTTGCAAGACAAATGTGTAGGTCCACTAGTATTTTTCAAATGCTAGATGAAGTGTCAAATACATAAAGTGCAGCATCTCCTGCCCGTGACTTGGAACTGCAGTATTTTGCAATTTCGATGAATTATTTTTCTTCCAGAACTTGAACAATATTGAGTTCTTGAAATGCCATGAATTTAATTCATTTGACTGCACAAGATTTATATTATATTGGCCTATCTGATTGGGATTCGTTGTTTGACAAGGTTAGAACTTAGACAGTCAACACTTCTCCAGTGCCCAGTTCCCCTTAAGAATCCAGGTATAAGCGCAAAAACTTATGCATTGAACGGAACTTGACAGGATGCAGAGGACCAGCAAGTTTCCACCATTCCTGCCTGCTGCTGCCAATCCGCTTGCAAGATGGACAAGGCCATCCAAGCCTCTCTCTGATGACCTTTAGCTGATAAAAAATAAACCCAAGAGGCAAGCTGTTATGTTGACTAATTAACTTCAGTGAGCAGAATTGGCCTTTTTGTTGAGGGTTACTAGTATACTGAATATTTGTGCCAATGCTGGCAGACTTTAATATAAAAACATTTTACCACCATGAGGTGCTGGCCTAGTGGCTAAAGAGGTTATATGTAGGGCATGACTCTTGAAATTGAGTCCTAAGAAACTGTCACAAAATTATATTTGTTAGACTTTAATTGCATACCATACCGAGGGCATGAGTGGCCCCTGCTGTCGATTATGAATTAATTAAGACTTTATTATGTGCAGGTTGACTTTCAATGCTCTCAGCTCTGGTAAGGGCTTCTACAGCACATTTTGCTGGGGTTGCAAGTGCCAAAAGCACCATCTACTCCTTTTTCTTGATGATAAAAAAATGTAAATAGATAAACATGTCAATTTATGCTTACATTAATGCATGCACATTCTTTGTATTCTATTGATCAGCTTTATATATAATTGTGTCAGCTTCCATTCTTATTATTAGACATAATGCATATATAATACATAATGGCCCTTTTCTCCATATCTCCAACTAACTTGTTATATAAGGTCTGAACCCAATTGAACAAACTAACTAATTGGTTCATGGGAGTAGAAAAAATAATGTCTGAATCCCAGACCTCTGTAGAGCTTCCTGTAATTGACATCTCCCAGCCCTTGAGCCCATCCTCTCTCTCCTCCCTCTCTCTAGCTTGTAAGGAATGGGGGTTCTTTCACATAACCAATCATGGGGTCTCCAAAGAGCTCTACATGAAACTCTACACTCTCTCAAATCATCTCTTTAGCATCCCTTTGGAGTCAAAAATGAGGCTGGGCCCATTTTCTTCAATAAGAACTTACACTCCACATTTCATCGCATCTCCTTTCTTTGAGAGCCTCAGAGTGTCTGGACCAGACTTCTTTGCTTCTGCACAAAGTTCAGCTGAAGTTCTTTTTGACCCACCAAGTTCAGAATTCAGGTAACATGTATGCCCTTTTCTTTGTTTTCTTTTTGCAATTCATTTGGTAACAATACAGCTGATACACCTCTATCTAGTGGCATGCATTGAAGAATGAAATGTGTTATGCAATATACGTACTTACACCATAAATAATGTTATAGAATCCTACAGAAGTTTCTAGGAATAAGCTTTCAACTTTGTGCATCTGACGATTTTCCCAGAGATTTTCTTTTTCCTTTAGATCTTGTCTCTGGTACATCTTTCATGATTGCTTTTTTATTCTGTTGTCAGTGAGATATTAAAAGAATATGGAAACAAAATGACTGAGCTATCAAAAAAGATCATACAAGCTGTACTAATGAGCATGGGAGATGATTTTGAAAAGAAGTTTAATGAATCCCAATTCAGTAATTGCCATGGTTATATGAGAATCAACAACTATTCACCCCCTGAGAGGCAGAGCCTAGCAGAAGAAGTTGAAGGGCTAGGCAAGCACACAGATATGAGCTGTTTAACAATTGTTTATCAAGATCAGATTGGTGGACTTCAGGTGAGATCTAAGGAAGGGAAATGGATGGACATAAACCCATGTGAAGACTCTCTTGTCATCAACATTGGAGATCTACTGCACGCATGGAGCAATGGGAGGCTAAGGTCATCTGAACACAGGGTTGTTCTAAGGCAATTTGTAAATCGCTTTTCCATAGCTTTCTTCTGGTGCTTTGAGGATAAAAAATTGATATCAGCCCCAGATGAAGTAGTGGGAGAAGGTAACCTCAGGGTCTATAAGCCATTTGTTTGCACAGATTATTTGAAATTTAGAGAGAGCAGCGAAAAGGGAAAGTTTGAGAAGGTTGGCTTTACTGTGAAAGACTTTGCAGGCATTGCTAAGAGCTGATTAAAAATATTACACGAATCATTTGGTTCCTTTTTCTTTTCGTTTTTTTCTTGTCTCGAAGTCTTTTGTGGAAGAGAGTGCCTTGATGGGAACCAATGAAAGATCAAGAATAAAGAATTGTCATTTGGGTTTTGGTTAAGATCAAAAAGTTCTCGTTCTAAATGTTTATGTTGTGCACTTAAAGGTATTATCAATATGTATGCCTTGAATAATTTTTGTGCACATCAATAAATGACTAAATTTGAAATTTTCAACTCAAAGTATCAAGCTTTTATTTGTTAATACCACTCTTGAGCCCATTGGGATTTGCTTTTGAATAATATAATGAAATATATATGTGGAAAATATATAAATTATGTAGATATGGTTATGCTTCTTCATTGCCTATACAAAGTTGTTCATTATGCCTGCTGGTTTACGATCCAAGTCTCCTTTGGAGATACCTCAATCATGATGTGAATGTATATATGATATAGGTCAATGAAAGCATACTTTAAGCTTGAAAGCTAGTTGTGTCTCATATCAAGTTGTCTTTTGTTAATTCTCAATAATTCAATATTGTTATGGTAGATACATGGTCAACCTACTATAAGAATTTCTTTTCTGGCCAACAACTACTATAAGAATTGAAGGCATTTGTATCCTATGTAACATAAGAAACAATCATAAGAATTGAAACGGTGAGTGCTTAAAATTACATTAGTTTTGTGAATAGGTCACCGGGATAGCTACGTGATTGTGCATGTTTGGGGATTTTAAGTCTCTCACACCCCTCAAATTGCACCACAATTTTCCTTTCAGCAATGGAGCACCTAAGCATAGTGCGTTCCTCGAAGTCTATGCCCTTTGCAAACAATTTTAAACTTTTAAGTAAAACAATTATGGGCATTAGCTTTTGTCAAGACTCATGAAACTCACATAGGTCAATAATTGTTCAATTTTTATGAGTCTATTGTTAATAAGTAAAAAAATAATAAAAAAATAAAAATGAAAATAATAAACTCTCACAAAGGTCAATTAAGGAAAAAGGTCAATTAAGGAAAAACCTCTTAGCATAAATATAGTATTAGTCATTCCACCTATTACCAATTAATTTTAATTTAAAGGCACTAATGGTCTTAAAGCTCAAGCCTACATATATATATATATATATATTTTATCAGCCAAAAAAAACTTTTTATTTAAATGGAGCACAAGGGGTGCTTCTGTCCGTATACAACACTTAAATCCCACAACATTTAAAACCCACATATATTTGGTTTAACTATTTGAAATAGTTGATAATCAACATCCAATTAGTCAACATCCAACAACCAATAATTATCATTTACAATCCATTCATTTTTATAATTGTTATTTACAAACCAATCACTTTTATTCATCTAAATTAACCCAATAACTTATAATTATTCCAAAAGATCACTTAAACTAAATATAACCTTAATTTGTGATGAGGCTTAAAAAACACTGTGCTACAAGGCCATCAAGAATAAGAGATAAAAAGAAAACACATTTGAGGGTAGAGGAGCCGTTTAACCAAGATTTTTACAACTCAAGAGTTCATTTGATTGACATTAGTATCTATGTGAAAAAGTCAAATTAAGTGAAAGAAATGAATAGATGGCATTAGGTCACATGTGTTGGGTCGTTAATGATGAGGATTAATTTGCATCTTTTGAGATGTTTGATGGCTAATTTGCAGTATTCGAGAGATTTAAGGATTTATTTGCATCATTTTCAGTTTAGGAGCTTACATGTTAATTTGAGGTAAGTTTGGGGGCCTAAGAAGGTGGTTTGCCCAAAATCCAATACAGAGAGCCCAAATAAGGCCCACAAGGTACTAAACAGTCTAAATTTCCTTTTGGTTTTGGTGCATCAAAAGCTCCCAAGCATTTCTTTTCATTTGGTTCGAGGCTTCACTAAAAATGAAAAAGAAACACTGGTACAAACTACAAAGCACTAAGAACAAGAAAGCAGAGGCCGAACATTTGAAGCAGAGCACTAATTTATGAAGGCAGGGACCGCAACACTGTCCCGACAAATCACGAAATTAAATCATTGAAGCACAAGCAAAAAAGTAAAGCTCTCGTACAATTACACACAAAGCAATGTTTCTTAAACCGAGTTAGTGTTTGAACTATTTTTGACACTACGTCAACCGGTATATATTTGCATGTCACGTTATATATATAATCTGAAATGGTTGATGTGTTATTTTTAAAATTAAAAATAAAAGAAAAATATCATGATATGATAATTCAAAAAAATAAGATAAATCTAAATAAATCACTTTAAAGGTCTTCAATTAAGCGCTTAGATATTGTTCTAGTTTCAATAATACTATATTTATAATATCATGTAATATCATAAATTTATAATCATGACGTAATAATAAATTAGTGTAATGTATTATTAAATAAATAAATACATAAAATATCATAAGTAAATCCTAAATAATAAAAGTTAATTATATAATAATATATCATATTATAAACTTATAATTTCATATAACATTGCAACATAATCATTTCCGTGCCAATTTCACCAAGTAATTCTAAATCTCATTACTCTTTATTGGTTCAAGTAAAGTACTAGTTGGTTGGAAAAATGTAAATTTGGTTACCCAGTGAGGTACTCTATCTACTTGCCCAGATATATACAAAAGTTGAAAAGATTCAAAATTATAAAAAAAGTAGCCATATAGATTGAATCCGAGGTTCTATCTACCATTGTACTACCATTTTTTTTTTTCACCATCTAAATTAGAGCTCGATTATCAAACCCAAAAGTAACCATGCGCACTCTAAGAGAAAGTGCCAATCCTATATTGCAGCTCAAAGAGCTAATGCCTTTGACATCAATACCGAATCTACTACTTGCTTAAAAGAACATTCATCAATCAAAACCCCATTCCTTTCTCAACAAACAATAGCCATCGCTACTTATGAATGCTCCAAAGATACAGGAACATCTGTATTAAATTTCAACTCCATATCAGCTGGAGGACACCAAAAATTTCTTCATGCAGCTCTGTTTTAGCCAATGAGTCAACATAACTTTTGATCTACATTGTTGTGCTAGAAAAACTCACCCCTTAATTGTTGAGCATTTCTCAAAACCAACATTGAATTAAATGTTTTACCTTGAAAAACTCCATCATTGCAATTCTTCCAAATATACCAGCAAATACAAGCAATGTCATCCATTAAGCCATTAAAATTACCAGCCCACTAGGAGGAAACAAAGTCCCCACCAATTCACAAAATCAAATATACTAGTCCAAGAAGGCTAGCTGATAATTTAGTCTAAAGAGAAACCAAATTCAAGTAACAACAAGGCATGTAAATAAAGCATGCATCTCAAATTCAGCACAAGAGCCACATAAAGTACAAGTAGCATCTTCAATCACACTCTTATGTCATAAATTAACCTTGACTAGAAGAGCATTAGACATGACTCTCCACAAAAAGAATTTAACTTTGGGGTTACTTCCAATTTTCAAATAGTTCTGTAAACAGAAGCAAAACTTGACTCACTTGAAAGTTAATAGATGAATATAAACCCAATCCTTTGCTTCTAGCAATAAAATAAGCAGAGCAAACTATGAAGTCTCCAAAATGATCTAGTGCCATCCAAGCTTGTCAAGCAACAATCCCATAGGTATTTTGACAATGGCTCTCACATCTACATCGTTTAAGCAATTAGAAAGTTTAGCAACATCCCAAAGCAAATTAGGCGTTATAAAATCACACACTCTATAATTGCACCATTAGATTGTTGTCGAGTAGTAATAGTAAATCTAGGAAGTGATGGAATCCATTTATGTGTCCATAAAAAAACATTCTAATCATTGCCAATGTTCCAACGACCAAAACCCTAATTCTAGCAACTTCCTTCCTTGTAGTAAATTACTCCAAATCCTAGATGGGAAGGAGCCTAACTTGATCTGAAAAAAGTTTGAAGAATGAAAATAAAGGTCTTGCAAAATTCTAACCCTAAGAGCTCCTAGATTATTAACAAGTCTCTAGCATTGTTTTGCTAAAAGAGCTAAATTAACTGATCATTTGATTTGTTTGATTTTATGTTAGGTAGGCGTACTTGAAAAACTTCAATTTAAAAATTAATTTTAAATTTTTTTATCTTAATTATACAATAAAAAATAATTCTATTTTATTTCTTATCTCACTTGAATTATATCATGTGATTCAAATTTAAAATTTTTTATTTTGATAAAAAAAAATTATCACTAAATTTCTTAAATTATTAATAATTAAATTTAAATTATTAAATAATTATTATTATTATTTTACTTACTATCTATTATTATCATACCCGACACACCTTCATCTCATTTATACGGCGAAAGTCATTGCGGATTTTAAGGTTCTTGCCTTTTGTTTCTTTTTTTTTTTGAAAATAGGCAATGGATTGCCTTTTGTTTCTTTTTTTTTGAAAATAGGCAATGGATTGCCTTTTATTTCTTGCTATGTCACGCGTGAGTTAAAATTTTCACAGTAGGAGAAAGATACCGGAACTATGCGTACAGGGCACGCTCAAGGCCACTAACAAAAAAAAAATGTCAGGGTCACCAGGAATTCTAAAATATTATTTTTTAAAATATTAATTTTATTTGATTTAATTAATAAAATAATTCATAGTTATTAATTAATAAATTAAAATTAATTAATAAATTAATATTTTTAAATATTATTTAATAAAAAAATTAAAATTCTAGTGGTTTAACAATTTTTAACAGTTTGATCGGTGGCAACAAGTTCGCCATGCGGTCCACGCAAAAAGAAAAGGAATTGGATTGGGACATACTTCAACGCGTAGGAGACTTTGGAAATGTGTGCGTCAAATTGTCCACACTCACTATACAGAGGTTGGACGATGAGAGAGCCACCACCACACCCCATGGAAATACCCATGTGAACAGAGGAAGAAGGGAAAAAAATTCAGTGTCTAAACCGACATGTGACATTACAGTACATCATGCATGATCTCATCTCTTACTTGGTACTAGAAAATTGTTGCTCGGAAACATACCAAGTGCCTACTTCAATCCAAACTTCTATAAATAACAACCATGAATGGGTTACGGTTGTGAGCAGATCAAATTCCATATATCTCAATGGCAGGGATCAACTACTGCCTCTGTGTCACAATCCTTTGCACCACCCTTCTCAGCTCGAGTGGAAGCAGCTATGCTCAGTCCAAGGAAGAACACAAAAACAAGCTCCTGTTTGTGTTTGGAGACTCCCTCTTTGATCCAGGGAACAACCAGTACCTCAACTCGAGCAGAAGGTCACCGGCAACGTCATGGCCTTATGGTATGGGGTTGAACAATCATTCCACTGGTAGATTATCTGATGGCCTTATAGTCCCTGATTTCATAGGTAAGTTTATATGCATACATGTGTTTGTTGAAATGCCTGAGTGAAAGTTCGCTCCTTGTAATTAGTTTGAGCTTCTTGAATTCTGCAGCTTTGTCTGCGAGGTTGCAAGTTCTTCCACCAGTTTTGCAACCAGGTGTAAATTTTAGTGATGGAGCTAACTTTGCTTCTGCTGGAGGAGGTGTTCTTGACACTCATATTGGAGTGGTATGAAATACTCTGTTTCCGTATTTTATCCTTCCTAAACTTCTTGCAGTGAGTTAACAAATTTCCCTAATCTGGTTTTGCAGATGAACATGGGAACCCAATTATACAACTTCAAGAAGGTGGTAAATATGTTGACAAAAAAATATGGTGAAGAAGAAACCAAGAAAATTTTAATGAGATCTGTTTTCTTGTTTAGCTTGGGAGGCAACGATTACTTTGCCTTCAACACCGAGTACCCGAATTCTACTCAAGCTGAGCGCATGGCATACATGCGCTTGGTTGTAGGCAATTTAACCAATGGTCTCAAGGTAAAGCTTAATTTTCAACAGTAATAAACCTTATAAAATCCATTTTTTACCTTCAACTTTTAATTTTGCTGCCACATTGTGCAGGAGATATATGCCATTGGAGGAAGAAAGATTGCTTTCCAAAATGTTGGGCCGTTGGGTTGTGTACCGACCATCAAAATGATGTACCCGGAGTTTAATGGTTCTTGTGTTAGAAATTTCATGGTACATGGCAAATTACACAACAAGGCTCTTTCCAATGCCCTTAAGAACTTACCAACAAAACTACCGGGATTCAAGTACTCAATATTCGATTATTACACAGCACTGGAAGACAGAATTAAGAACCCTACGAAATATGGTAATTAAGCTCTGAAATATTCCTATGTAGTTTGAAATATTAATCGCCGCGCCAACATGGTTAACCTAGTCTAATATTGTTGTTAAAATGTGTTGAAGGTTTCAAGGAAGGGTACGTTGCGTGCTGCGGAAGTGGATTGTACAATGGGAGGAACTGTGGAGGAGGAGATGATGGAAAACAAGCATACAATCTATGCAGTAATCCCAGCCAGTATGTGTTCTTTGATGGTGGCCATACTACTGAGAAAACAAATCATCAATTAGCCAACTTAATATGGAGTGGAATTCCCAATGTCACTGGACCTTATAATGTGAAGCAACTATTTGACTTTCCTTAATTAATGTTTGGTGTAGTTCTTACTACTACATAATTAATTCAGCTGGTATGCATTGTATTTTAGTTTCTACGAAGCAGAGAGGTCAAGGGAAATGGTATTTTAGCTTTCGGAACCGATTTATTTACAACTTTAATAACAAATATTAAAGAGTTTTTTTGTTTTATAATTTAAATTATATTAAATTTAAAAATATATATAATTAAATAAAAACAATTCTCATTATCAAGACCTCATTTAATAGTATAAGTTATAGAATTTAATATAGTTCAAATTATATATATATATATTTTTAAATATTTTAAACAAAATCCCTTGTTTTACAATCTAAACTTAAATTATAAAATTAGAATTATTGAATGAAAAACCATTAATTGAGGTGGTTCTAAATTTCACAACTATAACCATTGAATAGTTTATCATAATCATTTAATGGGTTAGACTCCCAATATCAAGGGATTCACCCCATCCAATAATATGATTGTGCTATTTAGAATTATTTTAAGAGCTTACTCTCATTTAATAATTATGATTGTGTTGTCTAAACCCATTTCAATTCAATAATTTTAATTATACAATCTAATATAATCTATATTATACTAACATTTTTTTTTTCAAATTTTAAATATGTACACGGTATGAAAAACATCCTTATAAGATAGTGGTCACCTCTCCATAATAAAAATTTTTTTATGCAAAACTTAACAATTGTGAGTTTCGAAACTCACTCTCAAAGTTAAAAGAAATAAATGTACACGATATATATATTTGATAAAGACAATAATTAATAAATTAATTTTATTAATTATTAATAATTAAAAATTTAACTTCAAATCTAATAAACAATCCACCTTTCTTAATAAAATTGTGACCTATCGATCCGCTTAATGGAATTTAAAATGTACCCGATATGAGCTATCAAACTAGTGGAAGGGATCATTTGAAAAATTTAGAGATATTGTAGGACAATGGAGCAATTTGGCATCCTAACATTTTTAGTAGAGACTAGAGAGTTAGGTGCCCTATTTTCTAGGAGGGGGTTAGGTTCCAGTAAACGAGGGTCAACCTTTGAATTCTTGATGGCAACCAACACCTTTTAACTCCGAGGAGAGCCTATCTCAAAAGGTTAAAACTTAAAAGTCGAACTACACCAAGCGGCTGGTGGCCGCGCCTTCGTTAAGATTGGTGGGTTGTTAACCAAATTTAAAAATTAAATATTTAATTATTAATATTTAATAATATTAATTTATTAACAATTATTTTTATAAAAATATATATATATTAAAAGTCAGTAATTAATAAAGCACATTTTTAATTAGCACTTCTTATTAAAAAAAATAATTAATTAGCACTAAACCAATCATTTCACAAGATCAAATACCATGATTATGAACCTAGTCACTATAAACTTCATTAACAGCCAGGATTCAGAAACAGAACTGTAAAGCCTGAAACTTTTTTCCCATGGCGAATCTGATCTATCCCCTGTATCAGCTGATGACTCTGTTCACAGCGTTTCTGAACCCAATTGCATTTCATGGTGAGCCCAAGCCAAGAGTGGAGTTTGACAGCCACAAAGCCCTGTTTGTGTTCGGAGATTCTCTGTTCGATCCTGGAAACAACCAGTACCTGAACGGAAGCCTTCCCCAACCTTCGGCTACCACCTGGCCGTATGGCGAGACATACTTCGAACACCCCACCGGGAGGCTCTCTGACGGCCGTATAGTCCCTGATTTTATCGGTAAAGTCCATAGTCTTCTTTACATTTGTCTATGAAATGGATGATTTTTCTTTGTTTTGGTGGTGAAATTGAATGCTTCAACTTCCTCTGGCAGCTGAATTCGCCAAGTTGCCGATACTAACGCCGTACCTGAAGCCGGGTTCGCACCGATTTACTGATGGGACCAATTTTGCTTCTGCGGGAGCTGGAGTTCTTCCTGAAACTAACTCCGGAACAGTATGTGAATTTTTCTTAATTTGTAGCAAATTCAATTTAATAATCTTGTATATTGAAGTAATATTTCCTTTTTTGTTAGTAAAAGATTTAACTCCAAGCAACATCTTAGGCATCTTAAAAAAATAATTAAAAAAAAGGAACAGATTTTGAAATATTGATGGGAAAAAAATCATCTTGATTGAGGAAAATTTTTATGTAATTAGAGTCGAGACAACTTGCACATGTTAAATACTAGTTAAGCAAAGTTTTTGTTGGTCTTGATGGTCTTTTTTGTTGCAGATACATATTAATTTGCAGCTAAGCTATTTTAAGGATGTGGAAAAATCATTAAGGAAGGAAATAGGCAATGAAGCAGCAAAGAATTTGCTTAAGAGAGCTGTTTACTTATTCAGCATAGGAGGAAACGACTATTTTAACTTTTACACAATGTACCCAAGTGCGACACAGACTGACCAGAGAAAGTATGTGGAGATGGTAATTGGAAACTTAACATCTGTGCTGAAGGTAAGAAGAACGAGATTGCCTCGAAAATTTTCTGTCAATACCTTTCCTGGAAAGTATTTACTAATTTTAGGTTGTGTATAGGAAATATATGGTATGGGAGGAAGGAAAATTGCATTCCAGAATGCAGGGCCTCTTGGTTGCCTACCATCAATGAGAGAAATGAATCCTAATCTTGGAGGTGAGTGTGCTGAAGAACTCTCAAAATTGGCAGGACTCCATAACAGATACCTGGCCTCTGTTCTCAAGAAATTAGAAAGTGAATTGCCTGGATTCAAGTACTCCTTGTTTGATTACTTCAATTCACTTGGCGACAGAGTCAGCAACCCTTCAACATATGGTAAGATATATAGTTGGATGTTTGGTGATATAGGGACAATTTTTTTGTACTAATCTTTTCATATAACTTTTACATGTCATTAAATAAGTAGATGCATTCAATATCATGGGTTTTAAATGACACGTAAGATTGTACAAAAAGGTGATACAAAAAATTTATCCCTAAATCATTTTCCATACTTGGAAACAATAGCAAAACACAAACAATCACTGCACTACACAACAATTCCAAATAGACCGTCATGTTTAAGCTTCAAAGTTATGTCCCTTTTGTTTGTTCTTGTTAATTTCTCATAATGTGGCTGTGTTGTGAAGGATTTAAAGAGGGGAAGGCTGCGTGTTGTGGTAGTGGAACTTACAGGGGAAGCGGCTGTGGGGGAGGAGTGAGTGGAACAGATCTATTTGAGGTATGCAGTGACCCTGGTGAATATGTGTGGTTTGATGGTGCACATACCACTGAAAGGACTAATAGGCAGTTGGCTGAGCTGCTGTGGAGTGGAGTACCAAATCTCACAAGGCCTTATAACATCAAACAATTGTTTGAGCTAGCATAGTATGCTTGAGTTGCAATGTATCTCGACCTTTTTTATGTGTGGGCAAAGGAGACCTGTACTTGAAACTCTTTCCACCGAAGAAGGCGTGATTACAAATTATGTTATGCAATCCAACCCAAAAGATTAGCTACCAAATAAGGAAATTGAATGTTGGCTCATAAGGATTAATTGTGTTCTTGAAGACAAATTTGATTCCGTAACTCGTGTATAAATAACCAACAAGTGCGGCTCTCATGAATAAGCCAATTCAATTGACTGAGATGGCGAATTTAAGCTCCATACTATTGTGTCTTACAACTCTGTCTGCTGTATTAGTTCTTCACCCAAGTAACTGCAATTCTCAATCGGAGAGAGAACACAAGCTCCTGTTTGTGTTTGGAGAGCATTGGAATGTTGTATGCTCTTGTAGACATGTTCCTTATTATATTTTGATGTGAGATTTTAACAACTTGTTTTGATAGCATGTAAAAGTTGAGTATATGGACTTTTAATATAATGTTTGCACTCAACTTAAAACTAATTAGTAATAAATGGAGTAGTTTTCTTTGTATTTGAGTCATATATTATTCTTATTATATTTCAATATGGAATTTTACCACTAAACAATTTTATGGTTAATTTTGTTTTAAAGGTTTAAAGGTGGAGAATATGGGAATGGATTGTATAATGGGTTGGCACTTGGGACTGTCGAAGAGAAGATGATGGGTGTTGGAATAGGTCCAACATTCAACTTGGGCTGTACATAATGGGCCTAGACTGCCGCCCATTAACCCAAAATGAGGGAGCACCAGTACAACAAGTACAAGTATACCCACGTGAGCAACGCCACGTAGGCCAATGGGATGCTTGCATGCACAAACACATGTCAACATTTAGAGTTATAAATACCCTTCAACTACCTCCGATGAAGGTAATTAACTTCTACGCCTCTCTCTCTGCAATTACTTTTTGAGGGCATCTTTCTCTAGAATATTGAATATTGCTGACTTGAGCGTTGAAGTGTTTTCTTTGAGAAAACATCCTCGGGAATTTCAGGTGTGGAAACAGCTGAAGACATCAATAGTGTTGGATCACAAAGCTGCCCAACACAACGAGGAAGCGTACAATCTATGCAGAAATGCTAGCGATAAATTACGACGGTAATGGCATCAAGAGAGAGGAGGAACCATTACGCAAAGACTGAGTGAGACTAGATGGAAGCCTCCTGAAGCAGGTCTTATAAAAATTAACGTGGATGGGGCATTTTTTGCTGAACAGAAGGCATTTGACGCTGGGGCTATAGCACAGGATTCATTGGGAGAGGTTTTGGCAGCCATTGTTCGTAAAGGACAGGGGCTAAGAACCTTATGTTCAATAGTTTTTTTCTTTTTTTTTTTTTGGTTCGGAACATTCGGTGTCCGGAAATTCACTGAGCTACCGATTAATTCGAATTTTGAGCCAAACAAGATCCAACGAACGGTAAGACTCTTCTTCACAAGTTTTAATGAAATTGTATTTCCAAAATTTAAAATCAAGATCTCTAATTAAACTGAAAGAATTTTCAGACAACTAATCTATCCATTCGTGGGTTTATGTTCAACAGTATTGTCTTTGAATCGGACTGCGCAGCTATGGTAACGGCGATTTTTGGGGACCCTCAATCGTCAATCCCTTAATTCCAATATAGGTACTGTAGGCTCACTCTTATTTAAGGACTATGTTTTGCAATTTAAATTGCAATGGAGCAGAATCTTGTTTGAATAGCCATGTAATATCTTTATTTATTATTATGAATAAAACGTTCACATGATTTATATGTAAAAATATTTCTTGGGTAAAAAGGGTTGAAGAATGAAAAAAAGAGTTATCTTTCCTTCAATAACCCAAAATCCAAAAAGGATATATATGTTCTTACTCACCTTGTTTTTTAATTTTGGCATCAAAGCTTGACTGGTCATTAAAAAGGAAAATTCCTACTCAACTTTACCGGTAATCAAACAAAAAAAATATTCCTACGGTGCTTGCTTTTTAATTTTAGCATCAAAAAGCCAAGTTGTAAACAAAAAAAGGAAAAAGAAAAAGAAAAAGAAAAGAAAAGTTCTGCAACTCCGGTAATTAAATTCAATTGCTACGCTTTAAATTAATTTTATTCTAAACGATAACTATTTGTCGACCTTCTAATTTGTCTTTCAACCCTCTTAGTCCCTCCCTCGGAAAAATGGCCGATGCTATAATTTCCTTAATCCTAGACATGCTAAAAACAACCATCGTCAACAAAGCGAAGGAAGAGGTGAAGCTGCTGGTCGGTGTTAAGGAAGAAGTGAAAAATCTTGAAAGAAATCTTGATCTCATCCAAAGCGTGCTTGTCCGTGCTGAGCGGAAGAAAAGAACGGACGAGCTTGTCAAGAAATGGCTGGATAGGCTCAAAGAAGCTTCTTTCGACATGGAGGATGCCTTGGATGAGTGGAGAACTGCAGTAGAGCTGGAAATACATGGGGCACAAAATCAGAAGAAGGTACTGTGCAATTTCATTTCATGCTTTTCTTTCGATCGGCTAGGTGCCCGTCGTAAAATTGCAGTAAACATAAAGGAAATCAATCGAAAATTAGATGAGATTGTAAAGGAGAAAGATAGATATGAGTTGAGAGCTAAGGAAATTGAACTTCCAAGACGGCAAGAAAGTACCTCATTTCTTGATGCGTCAAAATTATATGGAAGGGATGGCGTGAAGACAACAATACTGAGCTATTTGTGGGGAGAGAAAAGTAAAGAGGAGGCTGGTGATATATTTCAAACCATTTCTATAGTAGGAATGGGGGGAATGGGAAAGACAGCCGTCGCACAACTTGTCTATAATGACCAGAATGTTAAAAAGCATTTTGACAATGTAATCTGGGTATGCGTCTCTAACCCTTTTGAAGAGAAAACAGTTGCAAAGGCAATCATTCAAGGGCTTGAAACACTTAACCTTGGTCAAGCATCTGGTCTAGAATCAAATCCATTGCAAGTCCTTTTACACAGAATTTCTAACTCTATCAAGGGAAAGAAATTTCTTCTAATTTTAGATGATGTTTGGGCAGCTAACTGTGAGAGGTGGGAATCATTTAAAGCCCCCTTGAGAGTTGCCTCTTCAGGAAGTAGAATTTTGGTGACTACTCGTGATTCTAAAGTTGCAGCAATGATGGGGTCCAATCCCCACCAAATCATTCGTCTTGAGATATTGAAAAATGAGGAGTGTTGGTTAATATGTAGAGACATAGCATTCGAAGGAAAGGACAAAGAGTCCTGCAAAATTTTGGAGGAAACATTCTCGAAGAAAATTGGGAATAGATGTAAAGGGTTACCACTTGTTGCAAAAACTCTAGGGAGCCTCTTAAAGTCTAAAAGAAGTAAAGAAGAGTGGCAAAGTCTCTTGGATAGTAATTTGACACAAAGTGATATTTTTGCCTCTTTGCTATTGAGTTATTATGATTTACTTCCTCCTGTAAGGCGGTGCTTCTTGTACTTTGCTACTTTCCCCAAGAATTTCTTAATCTGGCAAAGTAACATAATTGGACCCTGGATGGCACTTGGTTTCTTAGGCTCTGACGGTGATGCAGATTTGGAGTCAAAAGGGGAAGAATACCTTCGTATCTTAGTGGACCGCTTCTTCTTTCAACATGTTCAAGTAACCAAGGATGGACACGTTGTGAATTGCAGGATGCATGAAGTGGTAAATGATTTTTGTCAATATTTGGCAGAGAATGAGTTTGCGACAAAGGAGGTCAAGTCCAATCATTTCACTATAGACTGGGCAAAACATCGTCACTTGGGAGTAACGGTTGATGAGCAGAGGCCTTTTCCTTCATCCATTTCTGGTGCACAAAAATTGAGAGCTCTTACAACTTTCACTGGAGAGGGTGCTTTGACTTGCGAGGCCTTGCGTAACTTGTTTAATCAATGTAGACGCTTAAGGGTATTGGATTTTGCTTGGCCTGATTTTCAAATTAGTCATTTATGTGAAGAAATTCCTGAAGAAATTGGAAAATTGATACACTTGAGATACCTTGACTTGGCTCATAGTAATCGATTAGAAAGGTTGCCTGAAGCACTCTGCGACCTACATAATTTGCAGTATTTGAATCTCAACGGGTGCAAAAAACTCAAGCAATTGCCTAACGGGATAGCAAAACTAATCAACTTGAGGCTTCTTCGAACTAATGGTTGCTTTGCTCTCACTCACTACCCAAAAGGCATTCAAAAATTAACTTCTCTTAGAAAGTTATGGGGGGCCATTGCTAGAGCTGATTGCAATGATGCTAAGGAATTTAGCCTTGCCGATCTTGGAAACTTAAAGTACCTCCGCAGTGTTTGGATGAAAGTTGTGGGAAATTCAATCGACAAGGGGGAAGCTAGAAAAGCTCTACTTCAGAATGTCCGAGAGTTAAGGATATATTTGGCTGGGAACATTATGGAAGAGGATATAATTGAAGTCTTAGATCCTCACTCGCAGATAAGAAGTCGAAAGTTCTACAAAGATTTCGTTTTGGACGGCTAGTGCCGGCGTGCCATTGAATATAAAAGGTGGTACACTGATTTATCCAAGCTATGTGCTCGAATTTTAATTTCTTCAATTAAACATTACTGATTTCTTATTTCTTCTACTTCTTCTTCTTCTTTTTTAATAGCGATATTCATTACTGATTTATTTTCTCACACTAATTAACTATAGACTTTGATTTGCAGTTGCCTGCGATTGTCTGTGTGGAGTGCATGCTTCCTTCCTCAAGCTAATGGTTTAGTATTTGGAACAATAGAGCTTTCATTTTTATGTTATTTTTTTTAGTTACTACCTTGGGAACAATTATACCTATGTAAAGAATATATATGCATATATTGTACAAATTGAACATTCGTGTGGTGTGGTAATGACTAATGAGATTCCAAATATGTATGGATTATGTTTCGTTAATGTTTAATTCTATGCATAATTTTTAATTATTGCAATTTAATTGATTAAAAAATCTAACTTTTCTCTCTTCTTTTTTTTTTCAAACTAAACATATCCTAAATGATTCACTTATTCTCTCTATGTTTGGTTAGTAAGTTAAATTGCTTAATTTTCCTTATTTGATGGTTTCACCAACCAAATATGATTTTTTTTTTCTTTTTGTCTTTAATTGAATATGACCATTCACAACTAACTTAAAAAGTAAATTGATTATAAATTTTAATAAATGTGTATCTCAAACTTTAAATACTGATTCAACCTCCATCTTTTAAATTTGTACCTATTAAGAAAAAAAAAAAAAAAACAAATATGACTGTTGGGTGATGGGTAGTTGTATTCTGTATTGGTGATGAATAAGGTTGTTTCTGGCTCTCTGAAGAGAAAAATTATTGTTCTAACTTCTAGTTTTTTTATGTTCATTTTTTAATTGGGGAACTCGTGATTTTGTGCTTGCAATAGTATGTACAAACAACGAAAAATTGTGTGCAGTTTCTGTTATTTTAACATTATCATGCCACACTTGCCAGTTACCAACGCAATTGTCTTTTCTTTTAAATTTTATTCAGAGGTTTTCTGTGCTGTTATGGAGAATAAGTTAAAAATATATTTATTATTTTTTATAATTTATTTAT